AAGTACACTGGAAGCCATGCGTCGCCTCCAGATTCCTGAGAGACTCACACCTCCCAGTTACTTCTCAAAGAATATTTCTCACCGTACAGCTCCTCTTGAAAATCGTTCACTCTGGTTACTGGTTATGCAAACATACTTTAAGCTGGGGTAATTTTTACGAAAGTTCACCCACTGTGGACTTTATCGCTCACAGTGGAGTTATATCACCCACAGCGGAGCTTTATCAAATACTTGAGAGAGACCATCTTTGAATACCTGGAGAGTGTTCCAGGGGGTCAACGCTCCCGCGGCCCAGTCCATGACCAGGCCTCGTGGTGGATCAGAGCTTGATCATCCAGACTGTTACTGCTGGCCGCACGCAAGCCGACGTACAAACCACAGTACGGCTAATCAGGTACTGACTTTAGGCGCCTGTCCAGCTCCTTGAAGACAGTCAGGGGTCTGTTGGTAATCCTCCTTATGTATGCTGGAAGGCAGATAAACAGTTTTGGGCCCCTGACACTTATTGTGTTGTCTTTTAGCGTACTCGTGGCGCTCCTGCTTTTCATTGGGGGGATGTTGCACCGCCTGCCGAGTCTTTTGCTAACATAGAGAGTGATTTTCCTGCGCAGATTTGGGACTAGTCCCTCTTGGATTTTCCAAGTGCAGTTGCCTGCATTCCAGGGAGTACAGGTCAAGGGACTTCAACCGTTCCCAGTAATATAGGTGCTTTATTGTACTTATATGCACAGTGAAAGTCTCTCTATATTCTCCAGGTCAGCGATTTCGCCTGCCTTGAAAGGGACCGTTAGTGTACAGCAATATTTCAGCCTAGAGAGAACAAGTGATTTGAAAAGAATCATCAGTGGCTTGGCATCCTTGGTTTTGAAGGTTCTCATTATCTATCATTTTCCTAACAGATGTGGTAGATACATTGTTGTGATCTTTGAAAATGAGATTCCCTGACATTTTCACTCCCAGGTCCTCCACATTAGTTTTTCGCTCTATTGTGTGACTGGAATTTGTTTTATACTCCGATCCAGTTTTTATTTCCTAGAGTTTTCCATAGCGGACTAACTGAAATTTGTCTTCATTGAATTTCATATTTTCTGAAACCCATTTAAAGACTTGGTTAGTGTCCACTTGCAGATCTACAGTGTCCTCAGTGGATGACACCGTCATACAAATTCTGGTATTAGCAAAGAAGAACGCGGTGCTGTGCAGAGTAGCTATATATATAGCAGAGAAACCATTTTGGGGCACCCAAAAAAATCTTTTGGCAGCAGAGAGAGAGAATTTTTGAACAGAATACGTACAATCTTTGGACAGCAGAGAGACCATCTCTCTACATCAGAGAGACACTCTTTACGAGCAATGGTTGCATCATTTACCAGTCACTGCGACAAGTGTCTCCGCATTCCTATCTGGATTGACATAAACACTCGTCACTGACATACTTCGCGTGTTACCTCAAAAAATATCAAAGCCTTTACTTACAGCACTTTTCTGTATATAAAACACTCACAACTACGTAGAATTTTGATAGCCACGGCAGTGTTAAATTCACGATAGCTAAATATGAGAATTAGCGAAGTCGACAGGCTGCGTCACGTATAGTTACAAATATTTACGTTCTCATGTAATATCTCTCAGATATCTTAACATTAACAGATTTGCCATTTTCTTGTGCCTAAATGGTTGGATGTTTGGACTATTTAAGATAGTGTTCCAGTTTATGACCCAGCCTCTGTCCACACACTGTACATTTCTTGTTATTAGCTTCTCCATACAAACTTTACTGCCGCAGATACTTACATCTTAACCTTAATCTAGCAATGTCAAGGTCTTGCAGTCTACTAACCTTGTAAGTTCTCAACAGATATGTTTTACTTAACACATTTAATTATGATGGGCAATGAATACAATAGTTCCTATCTATACTGCTACAATCCTTCCTTTAGCACTCTACACGGCCCCTCCCAACTTTACCTTTATTCTCATTTCCACTCTTATTTATCCTTAGATCCTGCATCAGTTCCTACCCTGCAGTGCTTCCTTGTGATTATAATAATCCTATCTATACAGTTCTGCTTTCTTCAAACTCGTTTACCAGTTCTCTTCTAACACTGGTTTCTCAACCTCTACTTAAGAAACTAAAATTATATTTGATATTCTCTTTATTTAATACTAGTCTAGCCAAGTCATCCATGGTAGGAGGCCTATGCAAGAGTGAATCCACAAAGGTATATTTAGAGAATATAATTAAGAAAGAAAGTCGGAATCCATTAAATTCTCTGTAGCTGCAGTTTCTGCCATCTTGAGAATAATATGCATGGTGACCAGTTAAATTTGTAAAATGGAAGCCCAGTTATTAATAATAATGAAGACAAATTTCAATTACTCCTCTATGGAAAACTCAAGGAAATTAAAACTGCATCGGAGTAAAAAACAAATTGCAACACACAAATAACCAGCACATAGGAGGGGCTTACGACGACGTTCCGGTCCGACATAGACCATAAGCTCCTCTCTAATATATGCGGGTTATTTGTGTATTGTCCCAGTCACGGTAATATGCCTTTTTGTTATCAAATTCCAAGCACGCAACAGAGCGAAAAACTAATGTGAAGGACCTGGGAGTGATAATGTCAGAGAATCTCACTTTCAAAGATCACAGCAATCTATCACATCTCCTAGAAAAATGATAGGATGGATAATGAGAACCTTCAAAACTAGAGATGCCAAGCCCATAACGATTCTCTTCAAATCGCTTGTTCTCTCTAGGCTGGAATATTACTGTACACTAACGGCCCCTTTCAGGGCAAGCGAAATCGCAGACCTTGAGAATATACAAAGAATTTTTATGGCACGTATAAGTACGATAAAATACCTAAATTACTGGGAACAGTTGAAGTTCCTTGATTTGTACTCCCTAGAATGCTAGCAAGAAGGATACATGATAATAATATACACTTGAAAAATCCTAGAGTTTACCTGGAGAGAGTTCCTGGGGTCAACGCCCCCGCGGCCCGGTCTGTGACCAGGCCTCCTGGTGGATCAGAGCCTGATCAACCAGGCTGTTACTGCTTGGTGCACGCAGTCCAACGTACGAGCCACAGCCCGGCTGGTCAGGTACCGACTTTAGGCGCTTGTCCAGAGGCGACTAGTTCCAAATATGCACACGAAAATCACTACCTACGAAAGTAGAAGACTCGGCAGGAGATGCAACATCTCTTCCCCCCCCCCCGCCAATGAAAAGTAGGTGCGCCACGAGTACGTTCATAGACAACACAATACGTGTGTCAGAGGCCCAAGACTGTTCAACTGCCTCCTAGCATACATAAGGGGATTACCAATAGACCCCTGGCTGTCTTCAAGAAGCTGGACAGGCACTTAAAGTCAGTACCTGACCAGCTGGGTTGTGGCTCGTACGTTGGTTTACGTGCGGCCAGTAGTAACAGCTTGGTTGATTAGGCCCTGATCCACCAAGAGGCCTGTTCACAGACCTGGCCCCGGGGGGCGTTAACCCCCAGAAACCCCCTCCAGATATAATATATCTCTGTATCATGAAATCACCAAGTATATTGTTTTACAGTAGTTCCTCCCTCCCGTTGCCAGACTTAAAGAAGACATTATCTACTGGTTGTGTCTTCCAGAACATTGTGATTAGAAATTTCTTGACTAGATTATGCATTAGTTTCTTAGGAGGGTAGTTGGATATACTGATGTGAATAACTGATATTTCCCAGGTGGCGGGAAATGATACAGTTCATATAATCCAAACATTTTATATCTGAAGCTGATATATGAACTTATTTCGATTCACTTGTCCCATGACTTGCATGTTTTAGCAGTTCTACACAAACAGTTTTGTTTAGATCTTCATTCAGTAACTTCAGTCCTGTAGTGACTTATTTCATATTTTAATTTAATAACACACTATCTATATACCAGTGTTTTCATGATGGTTTTAGGAGAGCCAAAAATGGTCTTAAAGTATTTTTTTTTTCTATCAGTGACGTTACTCTTTTGTAGAACTAAAACTGTTGAATGGTATTCTTTAATCTAGCTGCAATCTTGCATAAGATCACTGCATCATTGTAGCAATCCTAACATTTGTATCATAGTTTGGAGTGTGTCCCCCCCCCCAATTTTTTTATTGTTATTATTAAAGATTCGCCGGTATTCTCCCGGCCCGGGCCTTTTCCAAGTGGTGGCCCGGCCTTGGCTCCCTCTCTAGGGAGTGTCTGAGACCTAAGTCTCCCATGGGAGGAGGCACAAATACCTCCTCATCTTTGGGATCAACTGTTCCCAGGCCTAGCCACAAGCTAGGCCTCTCTGGTCTGCCATCCCTGCCCCAAGGGGGCTAATGGAAATGACAGTCTTGTGAGCTGCAAGCTCCGGCTCAGGCACCTACCCTACCCTAGAAGGGCTGAGCATGGTGTCGATGCCCCCCCCCAAAAAAAAAAATTTGAGAGTTCCGAGTCTGTCTTTCTAGTTGATTTACTTTTCGTAGAACTATTAAAGTACATGTAACAATGATACCTAGATATTTACTGGAGGACACATGATTAGCAGTACCTGTAGATATAAAGATTATTAATATTATTATTATTAACTTTATTTATCCCGTGGAGTTGTACTATTTTCGAGTATCAAATCTTATACACCATAACATTATTTCCCCTTCCACACGTCCTGACCAACAGGAGCATCTATTATAATAAAAGAAATGATTGGTAAATGACCGGTAAAACACGTTATTATTATTAGAATTCCCATCCTGAGGACATTACTCGCACCCGGGACCATTCAGTCGCTCGCGTCACGGCCTCTCCCCCTAAATTATTTTCAGAAATCTTAAATCACTTACATGACTCGCATACACATAGCCAAAAAAATATCTCGGCGAGATTAAACATCCCCCCAGAATATTAAATCAATTAAAAAAGAAAAAGACAATACGAATCAAGTTGGGCGAAGGTTAAAGGCATTAAATTTTAATTAAAATATTGTTGGGTGTGTGTGGAGGTGTGTGTGTGCTGACGCTTTGTTTACACTGCTGCAGACGCTCTCCAGATGATGACCAACACCAGGTGGCTCTTATGTGTAGTGTAGCCACATATATGTGTAGCTACTTGTATCATGTGTGTGTGGCCACTTAATATGATGTGTGTGTGTGTGGGCACCTCATGTCATGTGTGCCGTCACTTTTATCATGTGTATTAAGTCGCTTATTTGGAGTGTGTAATCACATATCGTGTGTAGGCACTTGTGTTGGCACTTATGTCATGTGTATTGGCACTTATATCGTGTGTAGGCACTTTGTGTGTGGCTACTATGTGATATGTGTAGGCACTTATGTGTGCCGTCGATTTGGTCTTAGTCACATGTAGTGTGAAATCCCTCAATGTATGTAGTCACTTACGTGTTTCGTATAATGATAAATTATATATTTTTTATTTATATGGTGTCCATGTTTTTATTTAGGCTTTGACTGCGTACAATTATTTGGACAATGGTCTTGAGAGTACACACGTAATGGGCACATTAATTGGACATTATGTAACTATAACTTAGGTCAACCCAGTTAAATCTATATAGTGTGTGTAATCATTTATTTTATGTACGTAGGCATGTTATATGTCATTTACAGGATGTGTAGTCATATGTGCATAGTTACATGTGTAGCCTTGTGGCTTAGCGCTTCTTTTTTATTATAATAATAATAATAATAACTGTGTAGTCATATGTGCATAGTTTACATGTTTATAGTTATATGTGCAGTCATTTACATGTATATAGTCAATTGTGCATAGTCATTTATTTGTTGTACATAGTCATTATGGTTTGTACACTCATTTACATTATGTCTAGTCATGTATGATGTATGTAGTTATTTATGTTATGTATAGTCATTTATATGATTTGTGTGATCACTTACAATATATGTATAGTCAATTTTATGTTACTGCCTAGCTATATATTATGTGTAGTCATTTTTATGCTGTATGTGTAATCACATATTGTATATAGTAACATCAGACAAAAAAGCAAACAAGTTTATTTTACATAATGATACAAATGATTGAAGGTAATAATTGAATATTGGTCCTCAGTGTAATTTGGAGATAAATTTAAGTTTGCTGTCTAATGTTAAATGGGTTCTGCCATGGAGATAATTTTGTTGTACAACTGGGAAAGCCTAAAGAAGCCAAACACAACCTAATGTAATCCATCATAATCTAATGAAACAGAACCCAGCTTACTCCATTATTGGTGGACGTAAAACTGGCGTCTTTTTTTTTTTGTTTTTTTTTTTAAATGTTCACTGTGATTGGCTAGCCACATTGATTGGCAAAAATATTAATTATTAATTAGCACAGATGCATCATTCAAGCCTATATTAAGGTATCATTTTTGCTAATATCTCCAGAAGTAAGTATTTGCTCAAAAAGTAACTGTTTCATGTAGATAGGTTTTAAGTGTTGTAACTTATACAATAATGCCTGAGTTTTGCCATTAACCAATATTCAATAATAGCCAAGCTTAAGTAGAATTGGTTATGCCATACATATAAAAACTCTCATATATTTTTGTAGTTTGGTCATGTGTGCAGTCACTGATATGTTTTGTAGCTGCTTATTAATTGTATGTAGTCACTTGTGTAATCACTTACATGTGTGTAGTTTATATGTATAATGTCCCCTAGCTCAAGTCCTTTTGAGATTACCCCATTTGTGTTTATCTAAAATATCTTTGATTTCTAGCTAATTTATTTGTGTTTGCACAGGTGATAACAAGAATGTAGGTGTGGTCGGTGTAGTAGTAGCTGGACTCGAACACACTATAATGCTCCCAGCTTCTGATATGCTTCCTCTTCACGATGAAGCTGTCACTATAGAACCACAGTATGATGGTGTCATCATGTTGAGTCCTGAGGCTGTGTTGTTCAGTGATGCAAAGCCCCGTCCTGATGGTAGCAAAGTCTACCATGTGTTTGAGCGGACTCTTGGAGATCCACCACGAGATGAAGCAACACAAAGTGAGGATTTCCAGTCCAGAAGAGAGCAGCTATTCTCACAGGCACATGAAAACACACTTCATGATATACAGCAGGTGATTTTTAGTTGGTATAAAAGTGGTAAAGTGTAAGTTGTTGATTGTTGTATGTGAATGACTACAAATTAAAGTGTTCATGAATGTTGGTGACAAAGAGAAAGAAGAAATTTAATTGTGAGATTTATCAGCGAATAAAACAAATGCCTTATAAAATTTTAAGTAAACTAGGTATATTTAGTCAAGTTATTAATCATTTAAGGGTAGTAAAATGGCCAGTTATAGTTAATAGGACATCATATGTAAAGCAATGCATCTCGTGTAGCAGAGCTGATAGGTAAATGAAAATGGTTAGTGTGTTAGACTAAAATTGGAGCTTATCATAAACAGCAGATTTTTTTTTTTCCTAGCATGAATGTAAGGTGCAGTGTAATGCAGACATTAAGCATTACTGGATTATACAGTTCTGGGTTGTAAACTGAAGGGTGAATGAATTTAGGTTCAGATAAGGCAAAGTGGACATCTGTTATGCCCTCTTAAAAATGTGACTTTGCCACTATTTGAACTCGAAGGATATACATGTATAGTTATATCAGAGATCATTCACATTTTTCATTGATGACAAATAAGTAGTAATTCATCACTGAAAAAAAGATGGGCTAGTTGGGAAACAATAGAGGCCAAAAAGAAGCTAACTAAATCCCTGAAATCCTTTTTTTTTTTTTTTTCATGTACAGGTCCTCCATCACAAATCCGGCATCATTGGGACCTGTAGTGTGCCGGATTACTGAGTTTGCCGGATTACAGAGTGGTTAGGTTAGAATACATTTAATAAAATTAACCAACTTGACTTATACAAAATTCATTGAACATCGGCAAAAATCGAACATTTCTGCTACTTTGAGCTCAATTTCAAGGTACTTTTCATCATGAAAGCAATCAAAATCATGTCTATTTCTGTAATATATCTTCCATTCTATCAAATGAGTCCAAAAAAATGAGAATACAACCATAAAACCCATACGAAAATATACTGCAAAGAGGCGGCTAATGGCTGAGAAGTGAACTCCCTTATTTATCGTCCGTCTTTTTTATTTTTGTTGTACATTAAGAAGCATCTTTCCATCATACATTGCCCAAGTTTCAATGAGATAGCCTAACAAACAACTGAGAAAAAAAAATATTTACCAAAAATCATATATGGCAAGCCCAAGACAGGTACTGGAAATAAGTCACTTTGTCTGACTTTTTTGGGTTATCCTAGGTTCTCTATACATACACTGCTATGTATGATAATCTATGTAACTATTTGTGTATACCTGAATAAACTTACTTATTTCTAGTCTGTCGACTGAGTACAAGAAACTGCCCATTCACTTATTTCAACTACCCAATAAAGTGGTCAGAAATTGGCAATTTGGCCAATTTCACACAAATTTCAACAGATGCCAATTTCAAAATAGGGTCCAGAATAAACAATGCAGACATTCCTGGCACTAAAATAACATTTTTTTCTGTTCATTAGTCACAGCTGCAGGCCCCTCTTGCTTGCCATTTGGAATTTTTATTCACAAAAAAATAGAAGATTTACTGTTATGCAGACTGCTGCATTATTGTAACAATTGTATAAATAATGTCAACCCATTCTTGACTCCGTATTGGAATTTGGACTGGCAGGTGGACAGGTATTGTTTACTCTTGAGCTTCACTAAAGAATAGAACATTTTCGCTACTGTGAGCGCAATTTCAAGGTACTTTTCGTCATGAAAGCAATCAAAATCATATCTATTTCTGTAATATATCTTTCATTCTATCAAATGAGATCGAAAAAATGAAAATATAACCATAAAAACCATACAAAAATATACCGCTAAGCGGCCGCTAATGGCTGAGAAGTGAACTCCGCTATTTATAGTCTGATTTCTTTCATTTTTGGTGTACATTAAGAAGTATCTTTCCATCATACATTGCCCAAGTTTCAATAAGATAACCCAACAAACAATTGAGAAAATATTAATAATAATAATATCTTTATTTACTACACATACATGTACAAGGTACACAGGCCTAGCTGACGTCAGTGACATATTACTGTATAGAAAGCCGCTTGTTATGCAGAGTATTTCAAGATGAATGGTTCAAAGAACCGACACGTTGTTAAATTAGACACATGTGCAACTCTTGGGTATCTTTATTGAGGAAACGTTTTGCCACAGTGTGGCTTCATCAGTCCATACAAAGGATAAACTTGAAGCGTTTTGCCACACAGTGGCGAAACGTTTCTTCAGTAAAGATACCCAAGAGTTGCACATGTGTCTAATTTAACAACATGTCAGTTCTTTGAACCATTCATCAACAATCCTGTCAGACACTGCAACTTCTTGGGATCTTAATACTTGGGAATTCTTCGCTTGCCTAACCCTTGGGCACGACCTACTTCCACATTGGACAAATGTGACACTACCTACGACTGCTGCACCTCTCCTGCCATACGGTTTATAAGCTCCTGCTCCGCTCATATGCCGTATTCTATTCAAGATTGATGGACTGACCACATCGA